ATCGTTGCCCCCCTCCTAGCGTTGCCCCATCGTGAGTCCCATCCCCCTATCGTTGCCCCTGGTGTCCGCCGCGCAGCATGCGTCCGCAAAATCGGCCTCGTGTGCCGCAGCGGTCTTCTCCTCCTCGCCTTTTCGGCTTCCGAGGGGCCCCTGAGGCTGCCAGATGGTCGCTTGCCTTCACGATGGCCACGGGGGCCCGACATGATCCCCCAAACAGGTACCCAGCAGATGCCAGAGGGGGTCTCAATCCTGCCCAGATGCCCCCGAAAGCTCCAATATGGCTCCAAGGGGCGTCGACGAAGCTTCCCAATGCTGCCATGTTGGAGGCTGTTTGTCATGATTCCAGCTTCGATTCGACGCGCCCCCCCCCCCTCCTTGTCCCACTACTGCTCGACCACTTCCTTCCAGGGAATGAACCATGGAACATCAGGCCTGTGTGTGGGGGATGCGCGCGTGAACCAGCCATTATGTTCCGAGCCTTGTCTGGCCTTCCCTTGTTCCTCCTCCGCCCTCCTCCTCCTCCTCCTCCTCCTCCTCCTCCTCCTCCCAATCTCCCTCCCTCCCTGCCTTACATTCCTCTATCCCTTCCGTCCTCCATCGATCTATGGATTTCGCGCGCGGTCGCCAGATCCATGGATCGGGGGAGGTGCCCTCCCCAAAATGCGGCCGGTGCCGCCCCGCTCGGCGGCGGAAATCCGCGATCCCCCCCCGGAAACGGGACCCGTCGCTCATCCACGCCCCCTTAATCCATTTTTGCGATCGCCTGATGCTCCCGATCCTCCCGCTCCCCGATAATCCTGATCCTCCCGCTCCCAGATGGTCCTGCTGAGGGGGGAGCGGCGCGAGCCGTGAGTCGGCGGCGCGCACAGGTGAGTAAGGGGAGGGGGGGAGGGGGGGAGGCTCCTTAGAGGGACGCTGCTTCGTAGAATGCGGCGGCCCTACATCTACAGACAAGGCCCGCGCCTTCTGAGAAGCAGCAGTGCTTCTTAGAAGCCGTCCCCCCTCCCCCTGCCCCCTCTGCGCGTGGCCGAGTGAGAGCGCGCAGGATGGCCCTCGCCTGACTCCCCCCCTGCCTTACACTCCTCAATCCCTTCCGTCCTCCTCTCCTGCTTCCTCCTCCGAAGCTGCCAGGCGGCGGGGGGGGAGGCGCGGAGAGAAATGGGAACACGGGCGGGGCTCGAGCGGCTCGACCTCGCGTGCCCCAGGAAGCCCCGATGACTTCGACGCTCTCTCGAGAGGGGTGCCGAAACCGATGGGGTCCCCCCAGGAAGGGGTGAGGACAACAGCTCCCCCCGTTGTGGCTGGCCTAACCCTGCGCGTGGCCGAAGTACGCACTGATGGGCCTGCTTTCCACCACCACCACCACCACCACAAGTTGGAGGGGGGAAATGAGGAGGAGGAGCGAGCGAGCGAGCGAGCGAGCGAGCAGAAGCCGAGAGGCAGTCGGAGAGGCCACGGGCGAAGGGGCTCGACGGCTTCACTTTACCCCCCACTCAGAGCACCGCCCGAGGGACCCGAAGTCGTCCAAGGGTGGTGCCCCGAGCGAGGGGAGTGAGAGGAGGAGGAAGAGGAGGAGGAGGAGGAGGAGGAGGAGGAGGAGGGGAGGAGGAGGAGGAGGAGAGGGAGGAGGAGGAGGAGGAGGAGGAGGAGGAGGAGGAGGAGGGAGGAGGAGGAGGAGGAGGAGGAGGAGGAGGAGGAGGAGGAGGAGGAGGAGGAGGAGGAGGAGCCCCTCCCCCTCCCGCTTGTGGTGGTGGGTGGTGGAACACGGGCCCATAACACGCACCCTTCCCCCGCCCAGCGGCGCGCCTCGTCCCCGGCGCTGGCCATGCCTCGCCCCGACGGCAGCACGGCGGGCGAGCGCGCGGGCTGCGCGGGCCCGGAGAGGGGGCCTCGGCCGAGCCCTCCGCCCTCCATGGGGGGGGGGCGGAGGGCGGGGGACTTCGGGAGCACCTCGCGGAAGCTCTTGGCCGGCCCCCTGGGCGCCCCACAGCGCGCCGAGTCCCTCCCGTGGTGCCATTGGGCGCCACTGGTCGCCATCTGGACGCTGTTCGGCGCTACTCGGCACTCTTGGACGCCTTTTGGCACTGTTCGCCGGTGTCCGCCGCCGTGCCCTTGAGGCACGAGTTGGAATGTTCTCGGGTCCCTTGCTCAATGCCCTGGAGCCTCAATCCTCAAATCCTGAGTGGAAGCCCGAACCGACAATTCGAGACTTCCGTCCCACGATGTCCGCAGGAGACCCCAAGAGGCCCCCAAGAGGCTCCGAGAGGCCGCCAGGAGGCCCCCAAGACGTCCCCAGAAGCCCCAACTCAGCCCCAAAGAGGCCCTACACCAGGCCCTTGAGAGGCCTCTCGCGACATCCCAACGAACATCCTAAAGGTCTCTGACCCAGGCACGGTGGCGGGATGGGCCGAAGGTCACTAGCTAGATCCGCCGCCCCCTTTTGACTTATCAAAGGGGTGCCTGGCGTGCCGAACCCTATCGCTTTTGGTTTTGGTTCTTTTTCCAAAAGAACTCCCCCTGGGGCTTCGGCCCGTCCCGCCGGCCACCCGGAAAGGATCTCAAGGAGCTCAATCTGGGAAAAAATCCTCCAAGATGGTTCAAAATGGCCTCCAAGATGGGCACGTTGGCCCAAGATGGCCTCCAAAATGGCCTCCAAGTCCGCCCACATGGTCCAAGACGGCCTCCAAGACGGCCCAAGAGAGTCCACGATACCTCCAAGGTCGCCCAAGAAGCCTCCAAGACGGCCCAAGACGACCCAAGAGGCCTCCAAGAGGTCCTCCAGGAGGGCCCGAAGAGGCCAAAATCATTTATTTTCCTTCCGACGGCTCAAGACGGCCCGAGAGGCCCCCAAGATCGTCCAAGAGGCCCCCAAGAGGGCCCCATGACGGCCTAAGTGGCCTCCAAGAGGGCCCCAAGAGGGCCCCAAGACGGCCCAAGATGGCCTCCACGACGCCCAAAATGACCTCCAAGACGCCCGAGTTGGCCTCCAAGACGGCCCCGAAGCGCCCCAAGAGGGCCCCAAGTCGGCCCAGAAAGGCCCCCGAGACGGCTCCCGACGGCGTCAGACGTGCCAGGACCCCACCAAGATGGCCGAAGCTGGCTCGAAGCTGGCCCAAGACGGCCCAGGAGGCCCCCAAGAGGGCCTCCAGGAAGGCCAGAAGAGGCCACAAACATTGATTGTCCTTAGGTTTTTGACGGATTTTGACACCTGCTCCTCTTCGGCCCTCCGACGGCCCGAGACGGCCTAGGAACCCCCAAAGATCACCGAAAGATCGCCCAAGAGGCCTCCAAAAGGGCCCCAGAACGGCCCCAAGAGGGCCCCAAGACGGCCCCAAGAGGCGGCGCCAGGGCCGCTGCGCGTGGAGAACGTCAACGCCGGGCAGCCTCTGCGCCGCCGCGCGCGCGGCAGCGTCGGGCCGTCCTGCGCAGAGACATCGACGTCGGGTCGTCTACGGAAAGGGCGCGAGGGCTCCCGGGAAGCCGCGAGGGCTCCTGGGAAGGCCCGCCGCCTTCTGAGAAACAACGCCTCGCGCGCCTCCCAGGAGGCCCGCGCCCAGGGCCTGCAACCTCGCGCGCAGAAACATCGCCTTCTGAGAAACGTTAGTTGCGGTGCTACAGCGGTCGGGTTTGCGCCGCTGGCGTCCAACAGCACCATGTGGAAACGCGGTGCTCTTGTAGGCTCCCTTGCGTGGTCGTAAAAGCGGCTGGGTTCGACAGGCGTTTGGTTTGACCAATCAGTTTCCAGTGTATTGGCGCAGGCCCGTTTGAATGCACCATGTCACCACATGCGGCGCTTTCCTGCGTGGTTTTTCATCAAATTTGCGCGTGTCGACTTCAACATTTGTCCAGACGTGTTCGGCTGCCGTTTGCCACCGAAGCCTGGGAGACGACCTCAGAATTCTAAATTCCAGATGGAAATCATGGTGGGCCCGCTTCGAGAAAGTCCGGAAATCTCGAACTGGAATTCAGGATATGAATTTTGAAGCGGAACTTCCTCGCAACAACAGCATGTTGACGCGAAAATGGGCGAACCAAGAGCCACGGCGACGATCAGCTTTCCTGACGCCCCTGCGGGCTCTCCTACAGACCTGAACCCCCAGGCATTCCCAAATGATGATTCCCACCCCAGGCGCCACCGTGCGACCATCCTACGCCAAGCCTCCGCTGCGCTGTAGCAGCAAAAGAAATATACGTATGCTTCGACCTACATGTATACACACATCAACATAAATTAATGTATATACACAAGGAACTTGTATAATACATATGTTTGGGCATATTGCCGTTCGGCATGGGAATCTTGCACATTCTTCAGGCAAGGCGTGCGCATCGTCACCAACAGCAACAAACACGTTGCTTAAGGCCATCCTCAAACAGGGTCTGAAACACGAGCGGTACGGTTCGCCTGCCGACGGGCACAGAGGAGGGATGAAGAAGAAAACGAGGGTGAGGCAATGCGGGAATGAAGGGGGGGACGGGGATGCAGACCGATAAGGAAAGCAACTGGGAAAGGAGGGGGGGGCAGCGGGGGGTGAGAGCAAATCAGGGAGGAGGGCGAGGAACATAATTCTGGCAGACGTGTACGGGTACTTTAAGCACCTCTTCTCGTCCAAGACATTTTCGTTTCAAGTGACCACGCACTACAACGATGACAACATTTGCCAATACGGACAAACACCGGCCTCCCAATCCTCCTCATCCCCTTCCTCCATCCTCCACCCTCCTCCGCTCCTCCCCCCCTCCTCTTCCCTCCTCCCACCTCCTTCTCCTCCTCGTGCTCCTGTTGCTCCTCCCTCCTCCTCCTCCTCCTTCTTCTCCTCCTGCTCCCACCTCCCACCCAATCTCCTCCTCTACTCCTGTTCCTCCTCCTCCTCCTCCTCCTCCTCCTCCTCGTTGTCCTCCTTCTCCTGCCTCTCACCCCTCATCCTCCTCCTCTTCCTCGTCCCTCTCCTCCTCCTCCCTCGTCTCCCTCTCCTTCCTTTCTCTCTCCCTCCCTTCTCCTCCGGTCCCTCTTCAGCTATGGCCGTGGCGCGCGGCGCGCCCGCTCTCCTATGCGCCCGCGCGCGCCCGCGCGCGCTCGCGCCGCGGGGGGGGCGCGGCGCCCTTTGGGGCCGAAGGCCGGCCGTCGCCGGGCGGAGGGGTACTTAGCAAGTCGCCACGAAGGAAAGGGGTTATTTGAAGAAAGGGTCCGGAAGTTTGTCGCCGCTTTCAGCCACCGGGCCCTGCCAGGGGCCCCGGGACCGTCGCAAATTATCCCAGTGCGACCCTACCTAGGAGTTGGAGCATCTAGGAAAGCAACATCTATATCTACACAGAAAGCTACATTAACATCTACACCTGCATCTACATCTACATCAACATCAACAGCGAGACTCACATCTGCATCCACATCCACACCTACGTCTACACCTACATCTACAACTACATCTACATTTACACCTACATCCACATCTTCACCTACACCTACATCCACATCTACACTTTCGCAGTGGTTTTGCTTTTGCGTTGCATGTTATGCTATGTGATGCTATGATGTGCTATGCTTGACTATGATATGCTATGCTATGCTGTGCTAGTGCTGCGTTGCGCTGCGCTAGGCTAAAGTCGGCTAATCTATGATTCGCTATGATATGATATGCTATGCTGTGCTATGTTGCGCTGTACTATGCTATGTTATGATATGTTGTGCTGCGTTATGATATGTTACGTTAGGCTATGCTATGGTAGTATATGCTACGCGATGCTATGCTATGCTATGTTATGCTATGCTGCGCTATGCTATTCTATGGTATGTTATGATGTACTATGCTATGGTATGCTATGCTGCGCTGTGCTATGATAAGCAATGCTATGCTATGCTATGTGATGTTATACTGCGCTATGCTGTGCTATGATATGCTACGCTACGCTGTGCTAAGCTATGCTATGCTTGGCTATGCTATGCTATGCCTTGCTATGCTGTGCTAATGCTGCGCTGCGCTATGCTGCGCTGCGCTAAGCTAAGCTATGCTAGGCTAAGCTAAGCCAAGCCAAGCCAAGCTAAGCCAAGCCAAGCTAAGCCTAGTTAAGCTCAGCTCAGCTCAGCTAAGCTCAGCTAAGCTAGGCTAGGCAAAGCGGGGGATCCTGGGGGAACCGCCTGGGGCGTAGTCCAATGCCCGGCCGTTTAAGCACACCGAGTAAGAACCCTTCCAGGCAGAGCCTAGGTAGGGAACTAATCAAAACGAAGATATGGCCCTGGGGAAGACCATGGGTTCCGGGACCCGTTTCCGTAGAACGGGGTCCGAATGGATGGGGTCGGGACATCGAACCGCATCGCCGTTGCACCAGCGACGTGGGCGATCGGCGACATCGGCAAGACCAGACAAACGCGTACCCGAGAGGACGCAAATCGGCGGCGAACGAAGGGGGAAATGAAAAGGAGAAAACCTTCTCAGAAAGCGGCGGGACTTCTCAGAAACCCACGCGCTTTCTGAGATTTGTTTCTGTCTTGGGAGAAGGTTTCGAAAACTTTTCAAAAGGCCGGAGACTTCCGAGCCTTCTGAAAAGGCCTTTCCTCCTCACTTCCCCCCACGCTCGCCGATCCTTCTCACTTTCCCCCTCGTTCGCCGCCGAACATAGGCATTAACAGGACGAGATGTGCCTATCGGCGCGCTCGACGGACACCAGGGAAACATACTGGTGCGCGCTTGCCATCGCAGGGGGCCGGGGCGAGAGGCTGAGACGGGGAGGGGGAGAAGAGGAGGAGGAAAAGGAAGAAAAAGAGGAGGATTAGGTTAGGCACGCCACTAGAGTCGCCACCCCGCGCTGACACCGAGGCCCCAGCGCGACATGGCGAGCCCTTGGTTAATCCATCAGTCTCTTTCACCGCCGCCCGCTGGCCCGTTTCCCAGCGGGGGCCCACTCCCAGGTGCCAAGGTCGCGGGCGCTCTGGGGTTCTCGCACGGCGAGCGGGCGGCGGCGGCGGCGACAGGCGCACAGGTCTGCGCCTGTGTCACACCGCTGGCGGGCGACGGGCCTGGCGCCTCGTCGTCCTCATCGTAGAGCTCCAGCTCGAGGTGGTCGGCGGGCTGCACCAATGCCGACCAGCTCGAACTCGAAGCAAACCCTCTGCGGCCTAACCCCTCGCCGCGCTGGGGAATTATGTGGCCTAACCCCTCTCCGCGCTGGGGCAGGAAGCGGACTAACCCCTCGCCGCGCTGGGGTCGGTGGCCTAACCCCTCGCCGCGCAGGGGAATGCTGCTGCGGTCTAACCCCTCACCGCGCTGGGGATTTCCTTGCCCTGCACTCTCGCCGAGCCGGGGTCGGGTGGAGTCTAAACCCACACCGTGCTGGGGGACCTCGTCGTCATCGTCGGCATGCGGCTCTAGCTCGATATAGTCGCCAGTCGGTGCCCGTGGCAACGTGCTCGGGCTCGCTGCCATTCCACTGCTGCGGCCTAACCCCTCGCCGCGCTGGGGAGTAGAGTGGCCTAACCCCTCGCCGCGCTGGGGATCGGTGCGGTCGACTCCCTTGCCTCGCTGGGGCCTGTGGCCTAACCCCTTGTCCCTCTGGGGTCTGCTGCTGCGGCCTAACCCCTCGCCGCGCGAGGGGGGCGCCGAGTCTCGCACTGTTGCCATATTTGATGCTGCTGTCTTCTAGCACGGGCGAGGTCTCCTGACAATGTCGCTCGCTGTGTTCGCGGTTCACGTGGTATCCGCGGGCCAAGCCCTCCCCCTCGCGTTCAGTCTGTCGGTTTCCCAGGGTGTGGGTCCGCTCTGTTAGTTGCGAGGTCCTGTCTACCACCATGTCGGTGACGTAGTCCGCGTTATGCTCTCTGGGCTCGACAGGGACCTGGCCTAACCCCTCGCCGCGCTGGGGCAGGGAGCGGTCTAACCCCTCACCGCGCTGGGGTCGGTGGCCTAACCCCTCGCCGCGCTGGGGGTTGCTGCGGTCTAACCCCTCGCCGCGCTGGGGATCGCATTGCCCCGCGCTGTCGCCGCGCTGGGGTCGGGCACGGTCTAACCCCTCACCGTGCTGGGGAACATCGTTGTCATACCCGTCATGCAGCTCTAGCTCGATGTAGTCGCCAGTCGGTGCCCGTGGCGCCCTGCTCGAGCTCGCTGTCGATCCATTGCTGCGGCCTAACCCCTCGCCGTGCTGGGGGAAACAGTGGCCTAACCCCTCGCCGCGCTGGGGATCACTGCTGCTGCGGTCTAACCCCTCACCGCGCGGGGGAACGCCAAACTTCGCACTGTCCCCATCCTTGATGGTACCGCCCACTGGCTCGGGAGCGGCCCCCTGACTATTCCACTCGCTGTGTTCGCGGTTCACGTTGCATCCGCGGGCCAAGCCCTCCCCCTCGCGTTCAGCCTGTCGGTTTCCCAGGGTGTGGGTCCGCTCTGTTAGTTGCGAGGTCCTGTCTACCGCACTGTTGGTCAATAGGTCCGCGTCTTGCTCACCATTGCGGTCTAACCCCTCACCGCGCTGGGGACTGCCGTGGCCTAACCCCTCGCCACGCAGGGGCACTACGCAGTCTAACCCCTCACCGCGCTGGGGATCTCAAAAAAAGCATCTAGGTCCCGCTGCAGGTCTGGGTCGTCATAATATGCCTTCGTCTCGGGCTGTGCAGTAAGCTGGCCCTCGTCTGCGCCATCCGCAGGATGTACTGCTGGTGGTGCGCATATCGCTGCTGGTCGTCGCTTCACTGTCCTTCTAGGTCGAGGCTGTGGATGTGTCTCTGGTGGGGGGTTTGTCAGCACCGAGGGGGCTTGCTCCTCATGCGGGGCCAGGCGCTCCTGACCCCGCAACTCCCTCACAGTCCGTGCCAGATCCGCCTCTTGTGCCGCCTTCGGTGGTGCTGTATAGCCAGGGTATCGCCCATCTCGTATCCTGTTGAGCGCATCTTGCCCGTACTTGGTGATCGTCTCGTCACGCGGCTCCCGCAACCTCTTACCAATGGTCGTGCCATACGCCGCACGCCGTGCACATAACAGCAGACCATACCGAGCCCATTCACTGATCGCATGACTCTGGTGTATGTTCCCATTGCCCATAAACCTGTCGCCCTTGACCTCCGCGATCTCGTTCGCCGTGGTGAACGAGGCGCTGCACTCCGTCTTCGCGAACTCGTTCAGGGCGTCCACTGCGATATACTGTCTGCGCGCTGTGCAGAACCACTTATTTTTGAGCTTGACCATGTCGTGCTGCTTGGCGCTGCTGATGATATCCTGCTGCTTGTCTCGCTTTACCTTGGGCTTGGCCGTGGAGGGTCTCTCTGCGCACCAGGGATCCGCGCTCGCTGTGTCTGCCAGCGCCTGCCGTGCTCGAAGTCTGACGTGTGCGCAGATCGCGTCCCATTCATCCGTGCGAGGTAGGGGCCTGCTCACTCTGTCCCATGATGCCTCCGCTGCAACTGTCGCTAGAGCGTCTGCGAAACTATTGCCCATCGCGCAGCTCGGGTTGATCAGCTCTGCCTCCTCCTCGTCCTGATGTGAGGGGGCCCACTCCACTTCGATCTGCCTGGGGCTTGTGTCCATGATTGCACGCCTGATACGTGCCCATATGTCCGCATTCTTACCTCTACCTGGGTCGTACGCTCTACCTCTCGACCACGCGTTGGGTAGTGGATGATGGTCCGTGACGTACACAATGTCTCCTCGGGTTTCCTCTATCGCGAACGCGAACAACATGAGCTCACCTCTTGGTACTGTTTGTCACCGTCCTGGTAAATCTGCCATCGTACCTGCAGACATGTGCCACTTGCCATCGATCGTCTTCATAGCCGCCACGCCTATGACAACTCGCCGCCTTCGTAGGTCTGCGCCGTGGGTGCCTCCTGATCCGTCGCCAAAGAGATACAGCGGCCGTCCAGGTACTCGAGCCTCCTCGTAATTGCCGAACCTGATGTAGTCCTGTCTGTCAATGTCAAGGAATTTTGGGTGAGTGAAGTCTCTTGGCGGGATCCCACGCAGCCAAAAGGTGGGGTTCGCTTCCACTCCTGCCATCGCTTTGGGCACCAAGTAGTCCGTCTTCTCGTAGGTCTCGTGCCCTGTGTTTGCAGCACAAGTGTAGATGCGGTGGAAAAGGGTCTCGGGATCCTGCTTGCACCTCGAGCAGATATTTGTGTCGCATTCGTAGCCGGCTTGTATCTGTCTTTGTCGTGTC